ATTATTTATTTGAAAGTCAGAGTTACATGGATATTGAAGGAGAGGCAGAGAGAGAGAGGTCTTCCATCCACTGGTGCACTTCCCAATTGGCCGCAATGGCTGGAGCTGCACTGATCTGAAATCAAGAGCCAGGTTCTTCTTCCGGGTCTCCCATGCAAGTGCAGGGCCCAAGGACTTGGGCCATCTTCTGCTGCTTTCCCCCGCCATGGCAGAGAGCCGGATCAGAAGTGGAGTAACCGGGACTCGAACTAACGCCTATATGGAATGCCGGCACTGCAGGCAGTGGCCTAACCCACTATGCCACAGCGCTGGCCTCCAAAAGGCTCTCATAGTCAAGGCAGCTCATGTCAGCAGCCCCGGATGATCACTGACGTCATACATAAGAGTGTTAATTGTTAAATCAACAACAGGAATCACTGTGCACTAACTCCCCATGCAGGACCTCTGATCTTCATGAGTTGTATTATAAGAATTAACTGTAAAACTAGTTCTCCACACTGTGTGTGCGTGTGTGTGTGTGTGCAAATTGTTGAAATATTTACTTAGTATAGAGTTGGTCTTAGTATAAAATTGATTGAAGGGGCTGGTGCTGTGGCACAGCAGTTTAACGCCCTGGCCTGAAACGCTGGCATCCTATATGGGCTCCGGTTCGAGTTCCGGCTGCTCCACTTCTGATCCAGCTCTCTGCATTGGCCTGGGAAAGCAGTAGAAGATGACCCATGTCCTGGGACCCTGAACTTATTTGGGAGACCTAGGGGAATCTCCAGGCTCCTTGCTGCATATCCATGCAGCTCCAGCTCTTGTGGCCAATTGGGGAGTGAACCAGTGGATGGAAGACTTCTCTCTCTCCGTCTCTCTCTGCTTCTCCTTCTCTCTCTGTGTAACTCTGACTTTCAACTAAATACATAAATCTTTAAAAAAATACATTTGATAGAAAATGAATCTTAGTGGAGAATGGGATTGGGAGTGGGAGATGGTGGAGGAGGAGGAGTGAGAGTGTGGGAGGAATCTCTCTATTCCTAAAGTTGTAATTATGAAATTTGTATTCATTGAATGAAAGGTTTCTTTGGGAGAAAAATAATAATTGAACCTGGGCTGGCGTTGTGACTCAGCGAGTGAAGGTGCTGCCTGAGATGCCAGCATCCCACACGGGAGCACGGGTTCGAGTCCCAGCTGCTCCACAGCAAGCCAGTTCCCGGCTGATGCACTTGAGAAAGCAGCGGGAGAAGTCCATGTCTTGGGCACCTGCACCCATGTGGAAACCTGGATGGAGTTCCAAGCCCCTGACTACAGCTTGGTGTACCATAACCACTGCAGCCATCTGGGGAGGGGACCAGTGGACGGAAGATACTCCCCACCCCTTCTTCCCCGATAACTCTGACTTTCAAATACATAGATAAATGAATCTTTAACAAACAAATAAAAGGAACCGAACTATGGGAACAGAGAGTTGTAGTAAATCCACCACATGTCCTGTACTGGTGGGACTCGGCTCTAGGAACCCTGTGCTGGGTGAGTCTGGTCATGGGACATCAAGGAGTCCCGGCACACACCTGCATGATGGCACCTACTTCACTCTGGGCTCTGAACTCCGCCGTTCACTCCTGGGCTGGGAACGGCAGAGCTCGCTGCTGTATTCCTATGAGAATATCCACCGGGGGCCGGGCGTCCTCCTGCAGTGGTGCAGACCTGCGTATCTAGGACTCTGCCCCCAGAAGCCGTGCAGCAAGAGTACGATGAGGTCGGCAGCTGCCAGCTTCATTAGAATGTTGGGGGCGCCGGCGTACAGGCGACTGTGGCTGACCAAAACGTGCCCTGACACCTGACGACGCCGTGACTCAGGAATCCAACATTCTCCCTCAATCTAAACGCCAGGCTGCAAAGCTTCATGGGAATTCCTCACACATTTATTCAGGTAGGAAACACACATACACATGCATGCCCACACACTCCCAAATTTACATACACTGTTCCCGAGGACAGGAAAAGGAACGTTTTATCAGGCAAGGAGAAAGTGCTATCAAAACCAGAGACGGAAACAGTCATATGGGGAAATCCTGGGACGGATGCTCCCGTAAACTTAGACTCCCAAGAAAATACTCACAAAGAATACTCGTTCCTATGAGAAGAGAGAATGCAGGGGACACGACCACACTGGTTGGATGGTGGTGGTGAAGGCAGGCACCGGTCGCTTGATACTAAAGAATCGATGGCGTTCAATACATTACCAGAAGAAACAGCTCATCAGACACAAAGCTGTTTTTGTCTGAGTGATTTTGCATCCCCCTGTCAGTCATCACATCTTCTCTCCGGAACGTCAATTCAAGTCTTTGCCCACTGCTCAAATGGGGCTTTTGTGGTTCCATGTAAATCATGAGTTTTGTTTTACTCCAGGCTGCTGGAGGTCTGGGCTCTGCTAAGTGGAGCTGTGTGGATCTCCCTTGGAGCGCTGACGGGAGTTCGTGTGTGGACCGCGATCCTGTGACCTGACGGTGACCAGTGAGGGCAGTTTCTGGTTGAGACGTTGGGTTGTCTTTAGGTAAGATGACGTCATCAGCAAAGAGAGGTAGTCTTAGGTAAGATGGCGTCATCAGCCAAGAGAACCGACATGGCTTCTTCCTTCCCAATTCGGACGCTTCTGTGGCTTCTTCTCGCCCACCTGCTCTGGCGAGGACTTGCAGGGCCGCGCAGAGCAGCAGTCAGGGTTCACGTTTCCTACAAGGTCCGCACTCTTCCTCCACGGAGACAGCGGCAAAGCAGCGCGCACTCCCCTCAGTGACGTGTGACCACAGCGTGTCGGCGTGCGCCTGCACACTCAAGTGTCCTCGTGTGCGCAGTATCGTGTCATCATGCACGTGCGCAGTCCTGTGTTGTGCGCCTGTATAGTCACGTGTCGGGCTGTGTCCCCGAGGCCAGTGGCGGTGTGCGCCTGCGCAATCCCTTGTTGACGTGCACATGCGCAGTCCAGAGTCGGTGTGCGTGTGCGCGAGGCCGCCTCAGGTGAGTCCGTGTCCGCCCACACGGGGAAGCTGAGGCTCAGGGCAGAGGGGTGTGTGAGGGGACGCAGTGAGGGCGCCTCCCCCGGGAGTCAGGGCAGGCGGCAGGGAGGGGGCGGCGCAGGTCCTGGGAGGCCTCAGGGCCCCGCAGCGGGGTGGTCGGGTCAGGGGAAGCTGTGGCTGAGGGGCGTGGGAGCGGCGTCCGCGGCGGAGGGGGCGTCCGGGCCTCCCCCGCCCTGGGTCGGGCCCCGGGACCTCCGGGCCGGGCGGGAGCGGGGCTGTGCCCACCTGCGTCCTCCGGAAGTGGCCGGGCTGCGACCCCACAGGAGGGGCTGAGGGCGGGGACGACCCCACCCCGGGGCGCATCAGCCCACCTGAGGGGCGGCTCCGGGAGGCCCGTGTCCTTGGTGCTGGGTCCTGGCCCTGGGAGAGGAGGGCGGAGCCGGCTGACAGGGCGGGGCGGGCCCCCATCCCTTGCAGGGCGCCTGTTGCCCACCTCCCATCCTTGGGACTGAGGGCCTGCCTGGGGTGGGGCGGTGCCCCTTCCTGTGGGGCTGCGGGCGGAACAGCCCTGCGATGCTGGGAGGACCCGGCCTCAGAGCGTCCACACCCGGTGTGTGTCCGTGCCGCGGGCGCTGTGCCGGGGCTGGCGGAGAGGACGCCATGACCCCGCCCTCGTGGTCCTGCTCTGCCTGGGGGAGACAGGAAGACGGGGAGGGGAGACCCTGCTCTGGGAGGGACCCCGCCCCGCCCACAGCCAGGCCCTGCTCCCTGGAGACCCCAGGCTCAGGAGCCCCGGGGAGGAGAGGACCTGCGCAGGGGCAGGGGCAACCCTCTCACGGGGAGCTCCCTCCAGGGCTGTGCGGTCCCAGGACCCGAGTGCAGGCAGGTGAGCGTGCACCCACTGTGCAGGGTACCCCCCCATAGACAAGGGCCACCCCGGGCAGCTGGCGTGGGGACAGCAGCCCTGTCTGGTGGGGGAGGGCGTCTGGGAGGGTCCTGGCCTGAGAGGGGACGTGGTCCTGGGACCCAGCCTCTGGTTGCCTTCCAGGGACCCTCCCCAGACCCAGCGTCCGGGCTGAGCCAGGCTCTGTGATCGCCCTGGGCAGGCCTGGGGCCCTGTGGTGTTGGGGACCCTGGAGGCCCAGGAGTGCCGTCTGTGTAGAGAGGGAGTCCCAGAGCCCTGGGACAGAGCGATGCCCCTGGAGCCCGGAAACAAGGCCACGTTCCCCACCCTCTCATGGCCGAGGTGTACCCGGGCGCTACAGCTGTGTCTGCCTCAGCGCTGCTGGCTGCTCAGAGCCCAGTGCCGCCCTGGAGCTGGGGTGACAGTGAGGAAGCCACACCTGAGCAGGAGCTGGGTAGGTCACAGGGACGCTGAGAGGAGGCGTAGATGGGAATTGGGTGAGGGGCCTGGGCTCCTGGGCCAGACACCCAGAGTGAGGGCGGTGGGACTGCAGGGCAGGAGGGAGAAGGGTGTGGGCGGAGCCAGGGTGCAGCCCCGCCCCTCTTCCCTCCTGACCCAGCAGGCCCTCGGTGGTCCCTGCAGATGGCCTGACGGGGTCACACAGGGACTCGGGGTCTGCCCAGCACCCTGGCCAGCAGCCCCGGGCCAGGCTCTCACAGGGGCTGGAGTAGATGCAGCGCTGGACAGGACCCCGCCCAGGACGGGCTTCACACCCCGGGGGCTCTGTGGGCCTCTAGACCAGACCAGGACTGAGACTGCTCAGGGCAATGGGCCCTGGCCAGACCTGCTCCTATAGGGAGAAGCTCGCAAGGCTGTGGGTGCTGCGCGGCCCGGCCCCTGCAGAGCTCCGTTGCGGCCCCGGAGCACAGGGCAGCCCGACAGAGACCCGGAGGCAGCTCACCCAAGAGCCATGCTGAGCTGCGTCGCGAGACGGGGGGCCGGGAAGCACTGAGTATGGACCAGGCCGGTCTCTTTATCCTCACTATCCCGTACCTCTTCTCAGGGGGACCGGAGCCCAGCAGCCCCAGCAGCCCTCGCACACCCAGCCAGGCTCCCCCGCAGGTGAGTGAGCTACAGGCTGGACTCAGGGCTCAGGACTCAGGCTGCTGCGGGGAGGTGGGGTCCTGGGTGACTGGGTCTGCCCCTCCTCGGTGACCCCTCCGTGCACGCCCCCAGCCCCAGCACCCAGGACCTCACCCTGGAGAACCTCATCAGCATGGGCGTGGCGGGCTTGGTCCTGCTGGGCCTCGGGCTTCTGCTGGCGGAGGCTTGGTACAGCCACAGAAGGACCCGAGCTGCAGGCCAGCGATGACCTGGAGAGAGGACAGCGCTGGGTCAGAGAGGCTGTGCCCCGGGGGCGGGGGAGGTGGGAGGCCAGAGGCCGGGCATGGCTGGTGAGAAGCTGCTGGGAAGTGGGCGGAGCTCACCTTGTGTTGTGGGAATCCTGCTCAGGGGCAGGGACCCGGGTGGGCCGCTGGCGGTGCTGCTTCCCCGGGCTCCCACGCGCATTCTGGGAAGGGGCTCTGGCCTCCCGCAGCCCTGCCCACCGCCCTGCAGGCTCCCGTGCAGTTCTGTGCTGTTCCTCTCCAGGGACCGCACACAGCTCAGTGGCCCTGAGTGTCCACAGGAGCGGGGTCGAACGGCCCATCGATAGGGCGACACCGGGATTCACTCCCCTTGACCTTCAGCAAGTGGGCAGGACGTGGGCCGGACACCTGTCACTCAAGATGGATTCACCATTCCACTCACCAAAAGGAGGCGATGACACGTGGGGTCAGATATGGGAGATCACAATTAATGGATCTGGGCTGGCTCTGTGGTGTAGTGGGTAAAAGCTGCCACCTGCGGTGCCGGCATCCCCTGTGGGCACCGGTTCGACACTCAGCTGCTCCACTTCTGATCCAGCTCTCTGCTATGGCCTGGGAAAGCAGCAGAAGATGGCCCAAGTCCTTGAGCCCCTGCATCCATGTGGGACACTCAGATGAAACTCGGGGCTCTGGCTGGGGATCAGCCGAGCTCCGGCTGTGAGGGCCCATTGGGACTGAACCAGCAGATGGATACCTCTCTCCCTCCTTCTCTCTGTATCTGTGACTTTCAAATAAATATTTTAAAAAGCTTGTGGCTCATCAAACTCTAAGGTAAAATCCCAGATGACCATGGGACTCCGCCCTCTGAGAGGACCACACACAAGTGAAAGACTGAAAGTGTGTGCAGGGTTTCTTCCGGCACGGAACGTTCAAGGTCACCTGGATTTCTCAGTGCACATCTAACATAAACCCCACAACACGGTTGGCTCTGGTGGACGGCAGCACCCGGTGTTCTGGAAGAGAGCGGATGCCTGCCCGGCTTCCTCTGATGGCTGATTACTCTGCTTGTCTGTGCGGTGCAAGTCTGCGTTTCCCACAGAGTTCAGTGAGGCGGGTGGAGGGTGCGCCTGGATACTTCTCCCGTGTTTCCAGTTATGGGCTGGGGACTCCACCCCACCACAGCATAGCTTAGGGGGTAAAGCCAACACCAGCAGTGCCGGCATCACATATGGTATGGCCAAGTTGGAGTCCCGGCTGCTCCGCTTCTGATCCAGCTCCCTGCTAATGCGCCTGGGAAAGCAGTAGAGAACGACCCAAGTGCTTGGGTCCCTGCACCCACGTGGGAGACCCAGAAGCTCCTGCCTGGCTCCTGGCTTCAGCCTCGCCCAGCTATATGGGGAGCGAGCCATTGGATGGGAAACCTCTGCCTCTGATTCTCCTCTCTCCATCTCTCCCTCTGAAATAAATAAATCAGTCTTTAAAAAAATTTTTAAGCACTCTAGAAGGAAATACCTGGGTAAATATGACCTCAGACTTCATCACAGCGTCTAAGCTGTGATTCTGAAAGTACAAGGAACAAATGGGAAAATGGCTGAATTGATCATCCCCAAAACTTCAGAAGTCTGTGCACCATGGACAGCTATCAAGGGAACAGAAAGACAACTAACACATTGTGTAAAGATCTGGAAGCCACAACAGGAAAAGCAAGGGTGCAACTCACAAGAGAAGGGAAGTGAAAATAATGCCACAGAGAGGCACCCCCCACGCCCACCACACTGATCACTTCTCGAAGACAAAGCAGGCAGAGTGTGGTCAGGGTGTGGGGCAATCTCAGCCCTGAGACGCGGCTGGAATGTGCAGGGTTCAGCCACTGCGGCAAGAGGCTCCTAGTTCCTCAAAGCACCTGACCCAGTGTCAGCACAGCACAGAGCAACCCACCCCCTGCATGGAGTCAGGCGCTCCCATCAACCCACATCCTGGCAAGGGTCAGGGTCAGGTGCAGCGCTCACCAGTGTGCTGAGTGCAGGCTCTGTGGAGCGTTCTCACCACCGAGGGCCAGGGGGAGGCCCTGACAACCATCCAGGGACTGTGCACACAGGCATCCGTCCAAGCACAGCCGGCCAGGGACAGGAGCCGGATGTGCACCGGGGATGCAGGGCTCGGGGTGGTGGGTCCCTGGCTCCGTGGGAACTCTGCTGAGCCCCAGGAAGCCATGAAGTGAGGATGTGTGCGGCAGAGGGTGCAGCCACACACAAAAGGCCCCGCGTAGCACCATTCCCAGAAACACCCAGGGCTGGGAGCCCACAGAGCCATGGGGCTGGGCGGGGCTGGCGGGGCTGATGGCTGCATGATGTGGGGCTTCCTCCTGGGGTGAGGCCAGAGCAGGTCATTGAATGTCTGGGGCTTTACCGTGAACGCCACTGCATGCACGCTTTGCCAGCTCCTGTTTCTGGGAGGGGGACTTCCTCTCAACCTGATGCAGGCTAAGGAAAGGACAGATGCCTGTGGGTGCCTTGTAACCCGAGGCTGTGACGAGCCGCCATAGTTCTCTCCTGGGTCCCCATCCCAGAGCAGGCAGCTGAGAGCCTGCCCTCTGCCCTCCACTCCAAACACGGCTGAGGATGGGGTCTTCCATTCTGTCTGGGACCCGGGACCGCTTCTGATTCACCTCTGGGGATGGCGGGCGCTCCTAGGGACTTCTAAGGAGCGGTGCCTACCAGAACGGTGCTGTCCCCACGTCTGAATCTGGAAGGGACACTGCAGGACCCTGAGACTGGAGTGCTGCAGCCACGGCCACCCAGAGAGGGGAGGTCTCGGGCTTCCTCCCACCACAGAGACGCTGGGGGACAACGTCACCTGTTCAGGTCGCTCAGGAAGCGGCACCCCCATGTCATCCAGGAGCACGGGGCCCAGGTGCTCAGATCAGGGGAGGAGAGGCCGTGGGGGGCTCAGGAAGCAGGTGCCGGAATCCCCAGCCCCACGTGAGTGTGTATCTGCACACGGGCCCAGTGCCCTGCTCCCAGTCCCCTCTACCTAATGAGAAACCCGGTACAGTGCAGGCAGCACAGGGTGTGCGGCGCTGGACCCCGGCTGGGCTGGTCAGGGCACCACCATATTCTCAGTTCCTAGGGTAGCTCGGGGCCTCTGCCCCCAGACACCCTCCCCTCCTCACAGCTGCTCGCCAGGCCCTGGGCCCACCAGCTCCCAGCAGGACCCCACCCTAAGATCGTGTCCCCTGTTGTGGGCCCTGCTGCACCTGCCACAGCCACAGCTGGGCTGCAGCTCAGCCACACCTCTGCAGCGTCTGTGCCTTCTTCATCCCCCCTGTCAGCGCCAAAGGCCTGGAAGATTCCGTCACCCTCCCCACAGGATCCAGCCCTCCCCACTCCCCTCCCCTCCCCCGCCCCCACAACTGCACTCAACAGCTCAGGAAAGGGAAGTGCGTGTCTCGGCCACCCGGCCTGTGCAGGGAGAACCAGAACCCTAACTGGACAGAGAGTGGACTCCTCTAGGGGTGGGGCTAGAGTAGGGGAGGGAGGCTGGGCAGTCACAGTACAGGGGGCAGCAGAGGCGGAGGCCTGGTCCTAGCTGTCCCTAGTGTCCGCTGTTTCCTGGGCCCCTTCCTCAGGGACAGCGGGGGAGGTCAGGGAGGGGCTGCCCCCGTTCCTGTGAGGCCACAGATGAGGAACCCGTGACGTCTCCCCGCTCATCTCCAGCCGGATTCTGGGCCTGCGCCCCTCACAGCTACTCTGCTCCACGGGACCATGGGCGGCGGGGCCCAGACCCCAGCCCTCACTGCCCTCCTCTGCCTGGGTGAGCTGGGGACATGGGGACAATGGGACCCCTCACAGGTGCGGGGGGGACAGTGCCTTGCCCCAGCTGGGACCCCAGGGCTCAGAGGACCAGGGCAGGCCTGGTCATCTCTGCAGGGGTGGGGAGTGGGGAACAGCTCTCACGGGGACTTCTCTTCCAGGGCTGTGCCGGGTGCCAGGGGATGGGGCACAGGCGGGTGAGTCCTCCCCTGACCTGGCTCAGTCCCGGGGGCTCCAGACAGCTCATGTTAAGGAGCCCAGGGTGGCTGGGCTGATGGTGATGGCTGGGAGGGGCTGGGAGTGGAGCTGGGGAATGGGGTGGGAGAGAGGCTGCACCCGGGGTCTGCAACTTTGATTCCTTTCCAGGGACCCTCCCCAAGCCCTCCATCTGGGCCGACCCAGGCCCCCTGGTCGCCGTAGGAAGCCCTGTGACCCTCTGGTGCCAGGGCTCTCTGCAGGCTGAGGTCTATCATATGTATACAGAGAGCGGCCGTCATCCCTGGGAAGCGAGGCCCCAGCAGGACTCCAGACACAAGGCCAGCTTCTCCGTGATCACGTCCATGAGCTCCCATGACACAGGGCAGTACTGTTGTGTGTATTGGACCTTGCTCGGCCACTCCCAGCCCAGTGAACCCCTGACCCTGGTGGTGACGGGTAAGGTTTTTCCCCTGCCCACAGAAGAAGAAACATGGACTTCACGGAGCAGCAGCCCCCCAGACATTGGTTTGCTTCCCCTGCAGGGATGTTCCCAGCGCCCTCCCTGTCGGCCCAGCCAAGCCCCGTGGTGGCGTCAGGAGAGAACGTGTCCCTCTCCTGTGGCTCAGATGAGGCGGGCACTGCCCATCTGCTGAAGGAGGGTGGAGCCGGCCCCCTGCACAGCCTGGAAGCCAGATACTCCCATGGGGCTGGGCTGTGGCAGGCCACCTTCCTCCTGGGCCCCGTGGACAGCACCCAAAGGGGCATCTACAGGTGCTACCGTGCTGACACCAACAAGACCCATGTGTGGTCACTGCCCAGTGACCCCCTGCAGCTGGAGGTGTCAGGTGAGGGCCCCAGCCCTGTCTCATCAGTCCTCATGGTCAGTGCAGGGCTGTCCCCACAGGAGGACTGGGCTGGGGGAGGGGACCTGGGGGAGGTCACAGGGAGTGAGAAACAGCAGAGGTCTCAGCCCTGGGGCCCGGGTCATCCTGTGTGGCACAGGGTATGTGTGGGAAGTGGAGTGGATGGAACAGGGGTGCTGGAGTTGGGAAGGGAACTGGGCTGGGTGCACAGGCCTCTCACAAAGCCCACGCTGGGCGAGGGGACTCCCTAGACACAAAGATGTGCAGTCAGGGCTCAGGCTGCTGCGGGGAGGTGGGGTCCTGTGTTACTGGGGCTGGCCAGCCTAGGTGACCCCTCTGTGCACACCCCCAGCCCCAGCGCCCGAGGACCACACCCTGGAGAACCTCATCCGCATGGGCGTGGCGGGCTTGGTCCTGCTGGGCCTTGGGCTTCTGCTGGCAGAGGCTTGGTACAGCCACAAGAGGACCCGGGCTGCAGGCCAGCGGTGACCTGGAGAGAGGACAGCGCTGGGTCAGAGAGGACGAGCCCTGGGGGCGGGGCAGGGGGAGCGTGAGCACAGTGGGGAACCGTCTTCCGGCATTCGGTTGCGGGAACTGTCTGGGGGCAGCAGGGGCTCTTCCTCTATTCAGCCATGGACTTCTCCTGCCCTGAGGTGCGAGAGCGCCCCCTGCAGACCAAATGTGCGCCTCGCGCTTAGCTCTTTCTTCATGGAGCCTTTTGCTCTGTTTCTGGTGAATTCAGTTCCCAGTGCGCATGCGTGAGAATCCGCGTTTCAGCCAACAACAGGGAGCTTGCGCCAAGTAACAGAAGAAACGAGCGAAATCGGATTTCAGGGTGGGCAGGGTCAATCCATCTGGGGAGTGAACCAGCAGATGGAAGCCTTTCTCTCTCTCTCTCTCTCTCTCTCTCTCTCTCTCGGTCTGTATCTAGCTCTGTAACTCTTTCAAATAAATAAAATATATGTTTTTAAAAAGTTAATGGTGTACAACATTGGTAATGTACTACAAGTCAGCAAATAATACACTTTAAAGGGCTGGTTTTATGTTATTTGAATTTCAGCACAATAAAGAAGGAAACATGGTTCCTTGGAATTACCATCCAATCCAACAGTTCCTCTCCTGCACATATAACCACAGGGATTGAAGCAGGAACCCAAGAAGGTGTTGCATCCACGGGTTCATAGCAGCCTCATTCACATGAGCCCAAAGATGCCAGCAACCAGAATATGCAGACCAGGTGAGTGCGTCCACAACAGGCGGTGTTTGTAGACACGGCTGACACTCTCCTGTTAGAAAAGAAGGAGGGTCTGGATAATCGTGGAGAAACCCTGAAGATATGACAATACAGAAATCAGCCGGTGTCACAAAGACACCATGGTCTGATTCTGCTCTGAGAGGTGCCCGGGGGTGCAGATTCAGAGGGCAGAACGTGGACTCGGGTGTGGGGAGGGAGCGTGCAGGCTCCTGCTGAGTGGGTCTGGGGTTTCTGTCTCTGTTAATGAAGATGTTTGTGAACAGGTGCTGGTGGGTACACGACACAGTGAATGTGAGAGGCAGCTACAGCCGTGAGTTAAATTTCTGTCAGGTCTGTAATCTGTGCTCTGTGAATTTCAGCTCGATTAAGAAGGAAGGCACAATTAGCAAAAACATTTTTGCCACCTATTTTTCCCTTTAAATGAACACGTAATAATTTGGGAGGTGCAGCATGGGATTTGAGGGTGTGCTGATCACACCAGGGCGTTCCCATCTCGTCATGTCTTGTGTTTGGGCCCCAGCTCCTCTCCTCGAGTTCTTTGTAGGAACACTCAACAGGTTATGTGAGCCATGGGTGCCTCCTGTGCTGTGCAGACAGAGCCGTTCCTCTATCTGACTCCACCTTGGGACCCGGGGACCAAACCTCCCTCATCTCTCCCCCCAGACCCTTTTCAGCGATAGTGGTCACCATCCTACTCTGCTACTATGAGACCAACTTTTCCAACTTCTGCGTAGAAGAGAGAACTTACACTGGATTCCTGGGAAGGCGTATTTCACTTAATGTTCTCCAGTCCCAGCCATTTCTCCACAAATGACTGGGTTTCACTAACACTTTTTCAGAACAGAATTACAGGGCCAGAAGAAGCTCCTGGTTCCTGGCATCGGATCCGCCCAGCTCCAGCCATTGTGGCCAGTTGGGGAGTGAACCAGCAGATGGAAGACCTCTCTCTGTCTCTCCCTTTCTCTGCTTCTCCTTTTTTGTGTAACTCTTTCAACTAAATAAATAAATATTAAAAAATAAAATTTATTGAAAATGAATCTTAGTGGAGAATGGGACTGGGAGTGGGAGAGGGAGAAGGAGGAGGAGTGGGAGTGTGGGTAGAATCACTCTATTCCTAAAGTTGTGCTTACGAAATTTGTATTCATTAAATGAAACATCTCTTTTGAAAAAACATAATAATTGAACCTGGGCCAGCAATGTGACTCAGCGAGTGGAGTGAAGGTGCTGCCTGAGACGCCGGCATCCCATACAGGAGCACGGGTTCGAGTCTCGGCTGCTCCACTGCCATCCAGTTCCCGGCTAATGCACGTGAGAAAGCAGTGGGAGATGGCTCAAGTGCGTGGGCACCTGCACCCATGTGGGAGACCCTGATGGAACTCCAGGCTCCTGGCTTCGGCTTGGTCCATCCATAGCCACTACAGCCATTTGGGGAGTGGACCAGTAGACAGAAGGCCACCCCCCATAACTCTGCCTTTCAAACATATAAACAAATAAATTGTTAACAAATAAATAAAAGGAGCTGAACTCATGGGAATAGGGACTTAAGGGGTGATAGCTGCAGGCTGGGGAAGAATAGGGCGTGATTTTTTGACAGATTCAGTTGTTCAAATGCTAAGGATTTTTTAAGATTTATTTATTTGAAAAGTGGTGTTACAGGAAGAGAGGGAGAGACAAAAAAAGAGAGGTCTTGTCTTCCATGTGCTGGTTCACTCCCCCATTGGCCACAACAGCGAGAGCTGCGCCGATCTGAAGCCAGGAGCCAGGAGCTTCCTCCAGGTCTCCCACGCGGGTGCAGGGGCCCAAGCACTTGGGCCATCCTCCACTGCTTCCCCAGGCCACAGCAGAGAGCTGGATGGGAAGTGGAGCAGCCGGGACTTGAACTGGTGCCCGTATGGGATGCCGGCACTGCAGGTGGTAGCTTTAGCCGCTGCACCACAGTGCCAGCCCCAGAATGTGAGTTCTAGAGCTGGGCTCCACAACCTCACACCCACAGTCCACTGAAGACTGCAGCTGTGAGCAGCTCCGGTGCCACCGCGTGGCCTGGCGCGTGCTCACAGCTCCCGCTCCCCCTGCCCCGCCCCCCGCCTCCCCCACTCCCCCTGGAACAGGTGACCGAGCCCGGTTAGGAGCCAGGCATCAGGAAGCTCCAGCTGCCGGCGATTGCCAAGGCCTCAGACAGGTTTCCTAAATGCTCCTCGTCCTCGGGGTCTCACCTGGGAAATGGGTGTGCACCTGCCCCACCCTGTCGGGGGGGGGCGGCGATGAGTCCTCACAGCACACGTGTGTGGGTGCCGGGCACAGTGGCCGGCACCGGGTCATCGGCGCTCTTGTTATCATTATTGTCTCCCTCCGTCTGTCCCCTTCTGCCTCGTCCTCTCGTGGAGATGAGGAGGCGAGAACCTTCCTGTCTCCCCGAGTCTCACTGACACCGCCCAGGGCAGGGGACCACCCCTGGGTCCCCGACTCCCCCCCCAAAGCCAGGGGTCACCTTGCTGCCCTTGGGTCCAGCCCTGGCCCCGGGGGAGCCTCTGGCTACCCAGCTCCTGGACAGCGGGACCGAGTGATGCTAATTGTGAAAGCCTCCTGGGAAAGAGCAGTGTAGAAAGGCCCAGTGACTATGATTGCAAGGCACCTTTCTTCTGGCTCAAAAATGCCGAAATAAAAGAAAGGCTGCTACACAATTTGCATTTTCCATTTTTATATTTTTTTTTAAGTTTTGCCAAATGTGGACCTTGCACACGTACGCTGCTGGTGGGGACGCGGATTGGAAAACGGCATGGGGAGTCCTCAGGAAACGGGTCGACCACACGACGCAGCCATCGCACTCCCGGGAACATGGGCAATCGCTTTCTATTGACCGCGTGTTCAACCGACATTCTGGATACACTGGGCGAAGCGCACCACAAACATCCATTCTGCCTGGTTCTTTGCACAATGTGGCTGGTGGAACACCTGCAGGCCCCCGTGTGGCTTCTGTGTTGAAGGCCTGGGCCAGGACTCCTGCCGCTGAGCCGCTGAGCCGCTGGCTGGCTGGATCAGTAGGCAGAGGCCGCGCCAACAGCAACACCTGCACAGCAAGCCAGCTGCCAATCCGCTCCTTCAGCTACAAAGTTACCCCTGCCTGCCTAGACTGGGAACCGGCCCTTTTCCTGTGTGCTGTAGTTACTGTGTCGTTTATAGGACGTTCTATGGGGACATTAGAAAAGTTTACTTTGGTGCAAAAAAGTTGAAATCCATGAATATGCATTTTCCATAAACTTTCTGAAGGTCTCTCTGTGCACCAAAGTGTCCTCTCATTGTATTTTCCACAAGCTCTCAAGTGCATCACCAATGGGGGCTGGGGCGCACGTTGTCTCGGGGAAGCAGACGGCAGGCGACCACAGCCACAGGCCATCAGCAATCAGCTCGGCTGCAATTGCGATCATCTGGGACCCTAAAGAACCCCGGGGGCTGGGCAGTCCCGATCTGATCCCCGGGCCTGAGCCCCTGGGTGCTGACCCTTTGCCATGAAGCTGCAGACAGGCGAGCGTAAGGCGCAGCTGAGACCCACGAGAGACCAGGACGCTCAGGTCGAAGAAATGGTCTCCAGCCAGCACCTGGGCACAGGTGCATGGGCGGGGCTCAAGTCCTGAGGACCAATCACAGAGCTCGGGCGTAAAGAGACCCCATTTAACCACGCTGCCTGCACCTGCCGCCCTCGGAGCCCGGGAGGCCCTGGCTGAGCGTCCGGGAGGTGAGTCCCTTCCTGCTCACTTCTCGCTTCCCCTGGGAGGGTCTGCCTCCTTTTTCTGGAATATTCGGGTTTCTCGCCTTGCAGGATTGCTGGGGTCTGGAGCCTGAGCTCCTGTTAGCGCAAGGCCTGGGCAGGAGCCTCCACTCACGGCTTCTGTGGCTGTGACCACGTCTCCCTCCTGCTGGGCCCTCCCGTCTTTGCGAGAAGCTCGGTGGTTCCGTGAGGCGGGAGAAGGCCATAGAGGCGTCTGTCTAGAGATGCAGGGCCGGTGGCTGTGGGCTCCCAGGAGGAGACTAGCGTTTGTAGGTTTTCGTTTCTGGCCCCTGGTGGGATTTGGGACGCATCTGCAGGTAGAATCCCAAGAAAAATACGAGGGCGCTTCAGAACACTTGTGGAGAGAGCTGGTATGGGAGAAACGAGGCAGACTCCGAAGTCCTCTTGCACCATAATAAGACAATGCATTTTTCCATGGGCTTCATCAAGCACCCTCTAGACCTCGTGCTGCAGCTGGGTGGGGTCCTGGGAGCCTTGGGTTTTCCGAAGACTTAACAGAAGGCGTTGCCTTCGATATCTCCAGTCGATTCAGCCTTTTAGATCAATCCGACTCGGCTTCGGGAGCTAAACCTTCTGCAGGTGCCTTCGCTAACGCCATCCCCACCATTCCCGTCTAGCTCACGAGAGGCTCGCGTTACCCTCCCTGCGCGGTTAACGCCACTCACCTGTGTCCTGAGCCCAGGCTCTGCGTCGGCGGCCGCTGCGTGGATCCAACCCCCGCCCCGCAGCCCCGCTCCCCGGCTGCGGCCGGAGCTGGAGGCGCCATCCATCAGTCACAGGTGGTGTTGACGCCATCACCCAGCGTGATTCCCCAGGACGCCGGCAGGGGGCGCTGTCCGTCAAACACCTGAGTGGGTGCGGAGCAGAGGGTCTAGCACCGCCCCCCAGGCCTCCGGGTGCTCGCGTTTCCCATCCACCCCCAGCTGTTACCAGGAGCGAGGGAGCTTCAAAGGTCACAGAAAACGGAATTAACATGGAAGTTTGTGTTTTGAAATGTATGCACGGTTCTTTTCCTGACTTGGTGAGATGCCGTGTTTGCATAAACCTCAACGATTTTTGGCATCAAAAGAAACGTGTAATTCCGTTTCTGTGTAATTCCGTTTCTAGGGGCGACGCACACAGTCCCCCACGTCCACACCACACCACCCCCAAGCCTGAGCGTTGGCACGTTCCACTACGTTATAACTGCGGGAGAGCGTTCCGGCTGCCAGTGACTCCCGGGGGGAGCCCTGGCGGAAGCCACGTTAGCCATCAAGAAGTCGGTCTGGCGTTAGGCATTAGTTTGACCGCTGAGCGCGGAATCTGCTTGTCTTGGCTTTTTTGCAAATACCTGCCGGCTTACACTGCTATGCTGTTTTAGGGGTTCTTAGTTCCTTGTTGGTCTTTGTCGACAAACTCCGCTGTACCAGCCACACTAAGACAAAATCGCTGTTCTCAGCGAGGGCGGCCTCGGTTTGCAGTGGAGGTGTTGATGCTCTTAAAGTCGCTGGAACGTGAGCGTAGGTTGCATTAACTCGGCCCAGGCAGAGCGAGGGGCAGCAGCACGCCTCCTACGTAAGCGTCTTGTGCTGCCCGCAGGGGGACGGGAGAGGGGTCCTGGTCACCTGTGGACAGCGGCCAGGCCACCGGGGGCTGGGGTCCAACCTGGGGTTTTTCCTGTGCTCGTTTGCGTCTCTGGCTTTCTGAGGCATAGGTAACAGCTGCGCACGTCGGAGCTGTACGACGTGGTGGTGCGCCTCGCGGGAGGATTGCCACCATCCAGCCAACACCATCACCTCCCGGAGGTACCGTTTGGCGTGATAAACACTGGAGATCTCAAGTGTGGGATACACAGTGCGGTGCTACCCACCAGTCCCTGCCATCTGGGGGACCTCCCGCCCAGAACTTGTCTGAAACCCGTGCCCTCTGGCTCCTCCTCTCGCTGTTGTCCCGAGACCTTGTCTGCCCGGCACAAAGATGGCTTTGTGGTTCTCCCCTGACCGGTTTCCGTAATGGAGCTGGATCTTCCCCCTACGAAATGATAAAATACTTGTGGTTAGAGGCGGGGCAGCCGAAACCACTGCAGTCTCCGCGGCGTGGGTGCACCCCCAGCCACCAGTGGCCGAGTGTCTGCGGCCTTTCTGCCCGGGGTTCTCACTGCCACAGCTGTAGCCATGTTCCTGGGCAGTGTCTCCCGCTTCCCAACATAACGATACAGCCAGCGCTGCCTAATGATCTCCAGCCTTGAACCCCACGGCTTCTCAATGCCCCCTTATTAGAAAGGCACACGGGTCCTCCATCTGTTGGTTCACTCCCCAAATGCCTGCGACAGCCAGGGCTGGGTCAGGCCAAAGCCAGAAGCTCGGAACGCTCCTGGGGTGGGGCGGGTGGGGCGGGTGGCAGGGACCCTCGTGCTTGGGTTGTCACATGCTGGCTGCCTGGTGCAGAGTAGCAGGAAGTGGAGCAGTCGGGACTTGAACCAGGCACTGTGGGATGTGGGCGCCCCTGGTGGGGAATGGGGCCACTGCACCAAACTCCGCCCCTCATCAGGCTGTGATAAATTGGACTTAATCTGTGTCCTCCTTTAAATGCTTCATTCTGTGTTTTCTAATCGACTGGCTTGTAGATCTCCCTGTTTCCCACACGACTGCTGGGTGCGTTGGGATCTGCAGGTTCTGGAGTGAGGCTGGGAGTTAGGACCTCGGCTTCAGCCCTCACAGCTGTGGGAAGACAGCACGCACTCAGCCCCCTGCATTGCTCTTTCCTGCATTGTAAAGAATATTTTTTTAAATATTTTTCTTTTTAAAAAGATGTATTCCTTGAAGCAGAGTTAGAGAGAGGTCTTCCATCCGCTGGTTCACTCCCCAGTGGCTGCAATGGCTGGAGCTGCACCGATGCAAAGCCAGGAGCTTCCTCCGGGTCTCCCACCTGGGTGCAGGGGCCCAAGCACCTGGGCCATCTTCTGCTCTCCCAGGACACAGCAGGGAACTGGATTGGAAGTGGAGCAGCCAAGACTTGAACCGGTGCCCGTATGGGATGACAACACCATGGGCAGGGGCTTACCCTACGCCACAGTGCCAGCCCCGTAAACCATCTTGATGCACTTGATCACGTAACCCTTTGAGCAAAGGTGTGCCTCCTCACAGGTGCCTCGTTGTAGGAATGGCGTTGGCCAGGCCACGGCTGCCGCCACCTCTCAGAAGAGAGGGCATCTCGCCCTGCCCCCCCCCGACAAAGCCGCTGGTTAAGATGCCAGCTTCAGTACCTGGCCTCCGTGCCCAGATGCGCACCCTGGGAGACGCCAGGTGCTGGCTCCAGCCCCGGTGGGAGACCGGAGCTAAGCTCCTGCTCCAGGTATTTGAGTTAACCACCAGACTAGGGGCCAGGGGGAGACGCAGCACATGCATCCCTGTCTGCCCCTGTCTGCCCCTGTCTGCCCCTGTCTGCCCGCTTTCAGCCCCCACAAAGTCTCTGCTATCTGTAGTCCTTGTGCTTCTTATTGAAGTCTGCAGGGTTAGGCGCCCCCTGGAGGCTCTGGGGGAGAAGCGGTCACTGGTGGCCCTGGGCGTCCTGGCTGAGGGCTGTACCTCTCCCGCCCCTCTTGTCCCGCCCACCTCCTGTGTTGGGGGGCGGGCTCTATTGACCTCCTGAGGAGCTCCCCCCCCCCCCGTTGCTGGTTTCCATGCTGGCTGCAGCAGCACAGCCCCCTCAGCGGGACATCTGGGCTCCCTGTGAGGAGGGGGGTGCGCTCTTGTCCCACGGATCTGCTGTCTTGAGGGCGCTTCCCGGGGACCGTGGAGCTGAACACCCTTCTGTGCCTGTTGGCTGCTGGGGTCCTGGGAAAACTACTTGGGTCCTTTGATAGTTTCTGTCCATCAAGTTTTCCTTGTTAGAGTTGGGAGTTCTTGGGTGTGTTGGATGCTAACCCTTTACCAGATACAGGGTGCGGGCACCGTCTCCGAATCCTCCGGCTGGGCGGAAGCCGTGTGGGTGGGTGGAGTCCCTCTTTTTGTGTTGGTCTCGGTGAGCCACCCACCCACCCACGTGGGCCTCCGGAGTCCTGGAGTCGGCCCTGTGCCGGTCTCCTGCCGGTCCTGGATAACAGGAACGGGCCATTCCCCAGCACTTGGCAAAGACGCTGTCGGTGATGCATTGACCTTGTGTTCGGTTTTGTCTCCGGGGAGGAAAACTCGGGACCTGTCTCTCTCCGCACTCCCCCTGCTCCTGGGGGGGACTCCCCCACACCCCACCCCCTGAGCAGACAGGAAGTGTCACTTGCACAACCCGAGTCTGAGACTGGGAACAGGTGAATTATCTGTCAAGCCAAGGAGTAAGAGTGGTGAACTTGACCTCCAATGCAGAGCTGGTCCTTTTATTAAAACAAAGTTATTCAAGGTGGGGAAGAGAGCTCCTAACCACTGAATCACATGTTTTAAGATTTACTTGAGAGGTAGAATTAGAGAGACAGAGAGGTCTTCCATCTGCTGGTTCACTCCCCAACTGGCTGCAATGGCTGGAGCGTCACCAAACTGAAGCCAGGATCCAGGAGCTGCTTCAGGTCTCCCATGCAGGCACAGGGGCCCAAGGACTTGGGCCATCTTCTTCTGCTTTCCCAGGCCACACAGCTGGATGGGAAGTAGAGCAGCTGGTGCCAGTGCCACAGGTGGAGGCTCAACCTATGATGCCACAGCGCCCACCCCTGAGTCACTGTATGCTCACAAGAGCCTTGGCTGGGCTGGGGTCAGAGCTGGGAGCCTGGAGCTCCACCCAGGTCTCCTGTGTGGGTGGCAGGCACCCAATACTTGAGCCGCCACTGATGCCTCTCGGGGTCTGTTAGCAAGAAACTGGGGCCAGGAGCTGGGGTGTGAACCAGGGGGCCAGGAGCTGGGGTGTGAACCAGGGGGCCAGGAGCTGGGGTGTGAACCAAGGGGCCCCAGTGTGGGGCGTGGGCGCCGTAGCTGCTGGGCTGGACGCTCGCCCCGGGAGCAGCCCGGCCGCGGCCGGGTTTGAGGTGCGAGTACTGACTTGGCATCTCTGTCCCTTCGTTCCCTTCACGCTGCACACACGCGAAAGCTGGGCTCTGGCGTGCGGGACGCGATGGAGGCGGTGGCTCCCTCCCGCAGCTTCAACCTGCCGGTGCTGCTGGAGCAGCTGGACCAGGACGAGCTGACCACGTTCAAGAACATCCTGAAGAACCTGTGCCAGCAGAATGAGCTGCAGCGGGTGGCCCCGGCCGAGATCAAGGAGGCCGACGGGCGGCGGCTGGCCGAGATGCTGGCCGCCCACTGCCCCCGGTACTGGGTGGAGACGGTGACCGTGCAGGTCTTCGAGAAGATGAACCGCATGGATCTGTCCGAGCAAGCCAAGGACGAGCTCGGAGGTGAGCAGGACCTGGCCCGCGCTGGGTTTCTGGTCCTTTTTTTAAAGAATTATTTGAGAGGTAGTTAGGTCTTCCAGACACTGGTTCGCTCCCCAGTTGGCTACAACGGCCAGAGTGGGACTGATCCAAAGCCAGGAGCTTCCTCCAGGTCTCCCACGTGGGTGCAGGGGTCCAAGGACTCGGGCCATCCTCCACTGCTTTCCCAGGCCACAGCAGAGAGCTGGATCAGAAGTGGAGCGGCCAGGACTAGAACCAGCGCCCGTATGGGATGGCCGCGGTGCAGGTTTAGCCTACTGCACCACAGCACCGGCCCCTCGTGGTTGTGAACCACGGTAACACAGCCCTGGAGACACTGGGCGTCCTCAGCACCGGTGCTGGACGCTCCCGAAGCCTTCGGGCACTGCCCTGGCCATTGGGTTCCGCCCGTCTACACTCCGCATGTGTAGCTGTGCGGGCAGCCCCACCACCTGTCCCTTCTGGTCAAGATGATGCGTCCCAAATGCACTCGGTTCTGAGGTTAGACTGTTCTGATTCGTGTCCCGCTCCCGCGTGGGTGCCCTTTGGGCCTGGTGTTTCGCTGGCGCACACTCGCACGCATCCACGCTCTGCGGCTCTGACCAGGTGCGGAGGTTCCTAGGCGGGAGCTTCCCTGTGCCCAGGCGCACAGCACAGCACCTCCACTAGGTGGCGCCCTTTCCCAGCTCAGGCGCGCCCCGAGCGTTTCCGACCGGGGCCGAGCGTCTCTGCAAAATCTCCCCGAGGGGACAGCCGTTGTCGTACGTCTGGCTGCCCTGGGAGCCTTAGTGAAGTCCACTGGCGATGCTGAGTCGGACCATTGGTCTGCGCCCTTGTCGGCTCCCCGGGCAGTGCACCCACACATCCAAGGCTGAGAAACAGTCTGGAGCGGTTGGCCTGACACTGGCCACGTGTGGCTCCTGGGTGCGTGGGACGTGCCTGTGAGCCAATGCGGGAATCCTGGATCCGGTGTCTGGAAGCCCCAGAACCAGTACCTCGTGGACAGTGAGGGCCAGCTGTATACCCCGGGCTGAGTGCGCACCCCGGGCTCTGAACTGTATACCCCGGGCTGAGTGCACGCCCCGGGCTCTGACTGTGCCGTGCTGCCTGCCTGATAATGTTTCTATGGTTCCATGGTAAAGTGGTTACATTCTAGAGAAGTAAAAATCGGGGAAAATTGGCTGCTTCCCTTCAGCCACTGTAGCAGGCCCCGTGCTAAGGTGACAGGTGCTTGGCCGCCTCGCTGGCGTGCTGTTTAGCTGCCTTGAGGACCCTGGTTAGCAGGTTTCTGTCCAGCTCCATCTCAGACAGCTCTGCTTCCACTTGTGTGTTTTGACTAGAGAGGCAGAGGGAGGGACAGGAGTGTCCACCCACTGGCTTCAGCCCCAGTTCCCCCAGCAGTCAAGTCTGGCCTGGGGCCGAAGCCAGGAGCTGGGATTCCATCCCGGTCTCCCACGTGGGGAGGAGGGGCTCGGCAACTTGTCCTTGGCACTGCCGCTTCTGCCCTGGCAGGAATCGGTCGATAATGGGAGCTGGGACAGAGCCCGGGCACTCGGAGGGGCACACGGGCGCTCGGCAGGCCGGCTAAACGGCTGCCCCGGCGTTTGGTTTTCCACTGGCAGATGGTTGCACACACTTCTGGGGTGTGGTGGGATGCTTTGATGGACAGCGTAGGTTGCTTTAAATCAAGCTAATGAACACATCCGCCCCCATCGTTGTGCTAACGATCCTGCAAATGCACTTGAACAATCTGGAAAAACTTGGGGCCGCCAGGCCTCGTGCCCCTGGAAGCGCTGTTGGTCTAGGTGACGGTTCGACCCCGTTCTCCTGTTCCTGGCCTTAGGGCAAAGGCGAGGGCTGAGCCTGCAGCCGGCTCCGGGGGACGACAGGTTTGGAAGCTCCCAGGCTCTGGGCTCGAAATGACACCAATTTCTTCTCCTTTCAGAACTCTCTCAGAAATCGCTCCAGGAGAAACCCATGGCGTTACGTAAGTGACCTCGCTCAGGGCTTTGGCTGTTCGAGATTTGGGAGCCCGGGTTTCTTTTAAAAGGATAGCGTGTGGAGCACTGGAAACGCGGGGTGGCGCTGGCCCTGCCTCCTGGGCTCCTGCCAGGCTTGGGGGCGGAGTAACCGTGTGAGAAATCTGTGTCCACGAATAGGGGAGCAGTGAGTCTCCCCTTGGGGTGCAGCCGAGCTGCAGGCTTTGGGGTTAACAAACGGGCCTGGCGAGATGCTCGGCCCCCACCTGCTGGGTGTGGCCCACAGCTAAGGATGGTGCCCCACCGTGTCTGTGCAAGGTACTCGAACCATTTCATGGAACATGAAGCTAAAAGATGAGCTTGTTTTTTGCACAAAGTAGGAATCCATGCTTAAGATGACTCTCCAAAGTTGATTTAAAAATAAGGAAAAAGGATGCATGGATTGCCTTTTTTTTAACAGTATTAAACTTTGCCTTTTTAACTGAGCAATGGCTCCCGTTGACAAGCCTGCAGCAGCCGGGGCTGAGCTTGGTTCCAAAGCTGGAAACCAAAAGCCCGGTCCAAGCCCCCCCGCCCCGCCCCGCCCCGTGGGATTGGGAACCCAGTTTAGTGAGCCGTCACTGCTGCCTCCCCGGGTCGGCCTTGGCAGGAAGCTGGGTCGAGCCCCGGTGTCCCCGTATGGGAAGCCGGTGCCCCAGCGGGCATCTGAGCCAGCAGGCTGCTTCCCCTGCCCACCGGCTCCCAGCGAAGGTCGCACTGTACGTGACGAAGGCAGTCTTACAGCAATACCTGTGTTAGAAAACGACGTGAAGTCTAAGCGGTGAACGTGGATGTCCGTGGAACTCCAGCTCTGGCGTCCATCTGAGGTGCTGCCTGAGCCGCTCCCGTGGGCGGGGGCTGCCGTGGCCGACACGGTGGGCGTGGCCGAGACCACGTGGCCCCTCACGGGGAGGTGGGGGGCGTGGCTGACCAACTCCAGCCAAGAGACTTGCAGTCACTGGTTATTTTCAGCGTTCTCTTGGCATCAGCAACAAACTGAGATGCTGATGACCAAAGCCACAGCTACCTGGGGGAAGTCCCTTGGCAGCCACTCGGGCCTGCGCCCGGATGGTCTGACCACTGCCCCCGAGGTCCTGCAGTGACGGCCGCCGTGGCCCACGTCTCAGCCCCGGGGCCACTGGCTCTGGCCTTTGGCGTGTTTCAGGAAAAGCAAAGGTGCTCGGCTGCTCTGGGTGAACCAGCACCGGGCAGGTCCTCTTATCTCAGATTTATTTTATTTATTTGAAAGGCAGAGTTGCAGAGAGGTGGAACCAGAGAGAGCTTCCATCTGCCAGTTCACTCCCCAGACGGCCACAGCAGCTGGAGATGGGCTGATCAGGAGCCAGGAGCTTCTTCCAGGTCTCCCACGTGGGTGCAGGGGCCCAAGCACTTGGGCCACTTTCCACAGCTTTCCCAGGCCACAGCAGAGAGCTGGATCAGAAGTGGAGCTGCCAGGACTAGAACCGGTGCCTGTATGGGATGCCAGCGCCTCAGGCGGTAGCTTTACCCGCTGCGCCACAGCACCGGCCCCAGTTCCTGTCTTGATCTGTGGCACCCGACAGGAGTCGGCTGTACTCGGTGCACACTGGGAGTTGGCACAATCTGATGCCTAACAGGAATTCGGCGCCCTTGGATGGACGCCCCCACCCCTGACAGCTGCCCTCGGCTCCTGGTTCCACTTCCGTGGGCTGCACGCGGGACAGCTCACGGTGTCTGTCTCTGACAGGCTCCTTCCACTCATTGTAGGTTCAACGTCCCTGAGCTGTAGCTCTCGCTCTGCTGCGGGTGCGGGATCCTCCCGGCCCCTGCGCCTCGGGCTGCGCACTGAGCCCGTGGGTCCCGGTGGGCCTGGGTGCAGGTCTCGCTCAGCCCTCCCCCTGCACTCTCACGTCATTGCTAATGGCGAGCTTCGACTATGTCTCCTCCCACCAAGCGCTACACACCCTGCCCGTCTCATCTGGGACACCAGGGGTTACACCCTGCAGGTGCCAGGGCGAGTCGGCCTGTGGACAGGCGTGGCTGTGCCAGACCTGGGTCCCTGTCTGGTGATGCGGCAATGTCACCACCGCTCCTTACTCGCCAGCTGGCGCGTTGCGAGTGCCAACCCCCTACTGCACTAGGTGAGAGGGCAGCACGCACAATGCTAACGACGTGGCTGTGCGTGTATCCCAAGGCTCTCAGCACGTGGCAGTTTAATCCTCCCACTCAAAAGTCCACCGGGAAGTGGTGTCCATGCCACACCAGCCACGGCCTCGCACCTGCTGCCCAACCCCAGCTCTCTCCCGCGTAATGGACGTGTGCCACCTGGGGCTGCCGGCGCTCACCGCGCACCCAGGACCCGGCTCCACGTTGGGCGGGGCAAGGCCGTGTTCCGACCTGCAGAGGGACTCCCCCAGGAAGGGGGCGCGAGCCTGGGGTCCTGGCCCCTCACTAGCATCCTCACCCACTCAGGACTGTTAAGAGCCCTGGTTGAGCTGGAGGCCCCGCCGCCTTCCACAGGAGTTCCCACGCGGGCGGTAACGTCTCCTCTCCTCTCCAGGGATCGTGTGGACTCACCCCGCGAAGTGCGCGCGCATGGAGGACCCGCTGGAGCACCTCAAGGACCCAGGTGAGGTGGGAACCGCGGGCAGGGAGCGAAGGGAGGGGAAGGTGAGCCGGGGGGAGCGAAGGGAGGGGAAGCTCGCAGAGGGGAAGGCGAGCCCGGGGGAGCGTCCAGGTTCTGATGGTGAGGGGCTGAGGGTGGGGCGTGGCTTCCCTGCGCTTCCTGACGGTGGGCTCTGCTGACGCCCACGCGTGGGTGGCCCGAGCAGACTCCCTGGTCAAAGCCCCCTCTTCACTCGGTCTGCCTGCATTGTTGGTCAGCTGCTTGAAGTGCGGCACGTGGATTAGTCAGGTGCACCACCGCCTGGTGCCTGGCGCAGGCAGAGCCGTGCAGACAGCCCCGCTGACCCAGGAGACCCCCGGGGACCACTTGCCTGCCCCAGGCAACTGTTCTCTGGGTTGGCCTTCGCTGGATCGCGTGAGGTTTCTTTGGTTGGTGTGCATGAGGTTCCTGGATGGTGCACAGGTCCCCGATCCAGCCCCGGGGTTGCCGAGGGATCGTGGGTTCTGTGGACGTACCCCCCCACCCCGGCAGTGGACTCCAACAAACATCCTGTCTCTACCTCCTGATTGGCGCAAATGCTGAGAACTAGAGGGGGGGGGTGCGACTTGTCTCCTCCTCACTCAGGTCATTGGTGAGGGCCCCTAAAGTGAAGACAGTGTGGCACGCGTGTCCTACGCACATGCAAGACACCCAGGGACACAGCTGTTCAAGCTCCAGCCGACCACGGCGAGACAAGGACCTGGAGCTGCCTGGGTGGTGGGCGCAGGGCGCTGGCCGCGGAGATGGCGCTGGTGCCTTCTCCCGGCAGGAGGGGGTCGAAGGTCAGCCCTGGTCAGCCGTGTGCTGCCTGCTGGACAGGGGAGGAGGCTGGCTTGGCACAGCCAGGCTCTGCTTGGGAAAACGGGGCCGAGGGCTCTGCTGGCGTCTGCCTTCGTAATCACTGTCCGCTCAAGAGAATCCTTGGGCTGAAGAGGGTGTTCTGAGCTCGTGTGGCAGCCGCTGTGTAGACGTCTTGGTTTCTCCTGGGTAAGATATTGGAGTTGGTGGAGACTCCACACGGGTGCGTGCCGTCGCCTGCTCACTGTGAGACGGGTGAGTTACAGCTGTCGTGGGGAAGGTGTGTCTGCCGCTGTCCTGGGCTTGTCCGAGTCCAGCAGGAGGCGGAGAGTGGGCAGAGCTGGCGTTGGCCCATTGCAGCTCCCCAGGACACAGGTGTCTGCCCCACCCTTCCCCGAGTCGGCACTTCTCGGCACAGCCTGGACCGAGAAGTTCAGACGCGGGTGTGGGTTCCGTGGAGCCTGGGGCATCGTCGTACTTCTAACTTTCCTGTTTACTTAAACCAGAGAGGTTGTCCACCCTCAAGCCCAGCACAGCCAGGGCTGGGCCAGGCCAAAGCCAGCAGCTTCATCCAGGTCTCCCGTGGGGGGGGGACAGGGGCCATCTTCGGCTGCTTCCCCAGGTGCACTGGCAGGGAGCTCTGGACACGGAGCTACGTGCCGCACCACAGCGCCAGCCCGGCACTCCTGCTTTCTGATGAAGCTCGCGCTGGTGCCGGGGCAGGGGTTACAGAACTCCAGGGGAAAAAAGCGTCAGACGTGAGAAAAGCTAAAGCCTTGGAAGGAGGAAACGCCGGGTCCGCGTCGGATCCTGAGCCCGAGCTCGGAGCCGGGTTGCTGTCTCCCTTCCCGCCTACCACCATCCCCGAGGCCTAACCCGCTCCGTCCTGTCTCTCGCTCCCCGCCTCGCCGGCCCCGCTGAAGGCAAGGAGGAAGCGTACCGAAGCGTGCTGAAGCAGAAGTTCGCCAAGGCCTGGGAGGACGACCTGCGGCTCGGGGACGCCGAGAGCATCCAGGCGTTCGCCCGCAGATACGAGGCGCTCATCCCATTCTGCAGCCCCAAGGCGCATGAGGGGCCGTTCCCGCACAGCGTGGTGCTGCAGGGCCCCGCGGGCGTGGGCAAGAGCGTGCTGGCGCGCAAGGTGCTGCGGGACTGGCTGCAGCGCGGCCTGGGCCTGCCCTTCCAGTTCGCCTTCTACCTCAGCTGCCCAGAGCTCCGCGGCGAGCCGGCCTGCACCTTCGCCGAGCTGCTCAGCAGGGACTGCCCGGAGCTGCGGGACGCCGTGGTGCGGGGTGCCACGCAGGCGCGCCACGTGCTGCTGGTGCTGGACGGCTTCGACGAGCTGCGCGCGCCCACGGGGGCCCTGGTCAGCGACATCTGCGGCGACTGGACACAGCCCAAGCCCGTGCCCGTGCTGCTGAGCAGCCTGCTGAAGCGCAAGCTGCTGCCCCGGGCCACCGTGCTGGTGACCACGCGGCCGCAGGCGCTGCGGGAGCTGCGCATCCTGGTGGAGCAGCCGCTGCTCATCCAGGTGCGCGGCTTCTCGGAGCAGGACCGGAAGCTCTACTTCCTGCGGCGCTTCCCGGACGAGGCGCAGGCGCTGCGGGCCCTGGACGCCGCGAGGGGCAACGCGGCCTTGTTCGACCTGGGCGCCGCGCCCGCCGTGTGCTGGCTGACCTGCGCCTGCCTGGGCGCCCAGCTGGAGCGCGGCGAGGACCCCGCGGCGGCCTGCGCCACCACCACCGAGCTCTTCCTGCGCTTCCTGTGCGGCTGCTGCGCGCCCGGCCCGCACCTGCGCGCCGCGCTCGGGGCGCTGAGCCTGCTGGCAGCGCGCGGCGTCTGGGCGCAGGTGTCCGGGTTCTGCGGGCCGGAGCTGCGCGCGCTGGGGTTGGCCGAGCCGGAGCTGCGCCCCTTCGTGGCCGGCGGCGTGCTCCGGGAGGATGGCGACCGTGCCGGCAGCTACTCCTTCGTGCACCTCAGTGTGCAGCAGTGCCTGGGCGCCCTGTTCTACCTGCTGGAGGCCGCGGAGGGCGGCGAGGCGGGCGGCGCCGACGACGAGGACGTCGGGGCCGTGCGGCAGCTGTTCTCCACCAAGGCGCGGGCCGACAACCCCGGCCTGGCCTGGACCGGGCGCTTCCTCTTCGGCCTCCTGAACCGGGGGCGGGCCCGGGAGCTGGAGGCCGCGTTCGGCTGCCGCGTGTCCACGCGGGTCCTGCAGGAGCTGCTGGACGCCGAGGAGGGCCGCCCGGTGCTGGCCGACCTGGACACCGCCGAGGCGCTGTGCTGCCTGCACGAGTCCCAGGACGACGCGCTGGTGCGCAAGGCCATGGTGCCCTTCCAGGAGCTGACCGTGCACCTGCGGGACGCCACGGAGCTGGCACAGGCCGCCTTCTGCCTCCAGCGCTCCCAGAACCTGCAAAGCCTCCGGCTGCAGGTGGACAAGGCCGTCTTCACCCCGGACGCGGCCGACGAAGCGGCTGCGGGCGCCAGGTGAGACCGGGCCCCCTCCTCCCTCTGTCGCCTGCCTCTCGCCCCCTGTGTGCGTCTCCCCGCCGTTCCAGTGTCCTTAAATGCCACTAACCTGAGTTACCCCCCGGGCAGCACGTGGACCATCAGAAGTTAGCACATACGGCCAGCGCCGCGGCTCACTAGGCTAATCCTCCGCCTGCAGTGCTGGCACCTCGGGTTCTAGTCCCGGTCGGGGCGCCGGAGTCTGTCCCGGTTGCCCCTCTTCCAGGCCAGCTCTCTGCTGTGGCCCAGGAGTGCAGTGGAGGATGGCCCAAGTGCTTGGGCCCTGCACCCCATGGGAGACCAGGAGGAAGCACCTGACTCTTGCCTTCGGATCAGCGCGGTGCGCCGGCCGTGGCGGCCATTGGAGGGTGAACCAACGGCAAAGGAAGACCTTTCTCTCCCTCTCTGTCCACTCTGCCTGTTAAAAAAAAAAAGACTTCAAGATACTCATGGGAAATTGAAAGGTTTTTTTTTTTTTTTAAGACTTTTCGATTTGAGAGGCAGTTTCAGACAGAGAGGGAGAGACAGGTCTTCCATCCACTGGTTCACTCCCCAGATGGCCACAACGGCTGCAAAATGATCCAAACAGGATCCCTCCCGGGTCTCCCATGTGGGCGCAGGGGCCAAGCACCTGGGCTGTCCTCCACCGCTTTCCCTGGCACGTTAGCAGGGAGCTGGATCGGAAGCGGAACGCCCGGGACTGGAACCGGCACCCATGTAGGATGCCGGCACTGCAGGTGGAGGCTTAATCTACCACACCACAGCACAGCCCCAGGAAGTGGAGCTTTAAGCTGTTGGTTTCGGTGTAACATGGAGGAGTCCATGGTTCTCCTGTGATACCCGTTCTCCACGGAGTCCCAGGGGGCTTCCTCCTGCCCTCCTGAAAACCCAAGTCCACAGGCCTGGTCTCTGTCTCCGCAGGTGCCCCAGGGTGTGTGCCCCAGGGCACCCAGGTCTCTCCTCTGCAGGTGGCTGTTGCAAGGTGTTTGAACGAGAAAAGTACCAACAACCTCGTCTCTCACGTGCCCACCATCTGGAGTGGAAACGAGCCTTTTTTAAGATTTACTTGAAAGACAGAGAAAGGTGGAGCCAGAAGAGAGGTCTTCCACCTGCTGGTTCTCTCCCCAAATGACTGCAACAGCCAGGGCTGAGCTGATCCGAAGCCAGGAGTTCCTTCTGGGTCTCCCACGTGGGTGCAGGGGCCCAAGGACTTGGACCATCTTCCACTGCTTTCCCAGGCCACAGCAGAGAGCTGGATGGGAAGTAGAGCAGCCAGGACTCGAACCGGCACCCAGAAGGGATGCTGGCGCTGCAAGCAGTGGCTTTACCTGCTACACCACAGCGCCAGCCCCTCGAAATGATCCTTGTGCCGCTTCTATTTAACACTGGTGTAGGGAAAGTTGAATCTGGCTACCCGCTGCCCACAGCCTGGCTGCCTGGTTCCTAGGGCTCCTGACAGAGACACGGGGAAAGGCATGGATGGCTTTGGGTCTGATTGATCTGATTAGTAACACAAGCTCCTGCTTTGTCTTGATCGTTAACGAGACACAGAAGGAGGGGGCGCACCCGCATCCACTGGTATGCTCCCCAGATACCCACCATGGCCAGACCCAGGGCTGTGCCAGGCCGCAGCCAGAACCCGGGCCGCCTCCTGGGTGTGGCATGTGGGTAGCAGCGGCCTCTGCTGCCTCCTGCAGGGCATAGCGGGTAAAGCCGCCACCTGCAGTGCCAGCATCCCATCTAGGCGCCAGTTCTAGTCCCAGCTGCTCCACTTCCGATCCAGCTCTCTGCTGTGGCCTGGGTAAGCAGTAGAAGATGGCCCAAGTTCTTAGGCCCCTGCATCCTCATGGGAGACCTGGAAGAGGCTCCTGGCTCTGGATCAGCTCAGCTCCGGCCGTTGCAGCCATTTGGGGAGTAAACCAGCAGGTGTATGTGTCGATGTCTGCCTCTCTGTAATTCTTTAAAATAAATAAACCTTAAAGACTGCAAAAACAGGGCCGGTGCCGCGGCTCACTAGGCTAATCCTCCGCCTAGCGGCGCCGGCACACCGGGTTCTAGTCCCGGTCGGGGCGCCGGATTCTGTCCTGGTTGCCCCTCTTCCAGGCCAGCTCTCTGCTGTGGCCAGGGAGTGCAGTGGAGGATGGCCCAGGTGCTTGGGCCCTGCACCCCATGGGAGACCAGGAGAAGCACCTGGCTCCTGCCATCGGATCAGCGCGGTGTGCCGGCCGCAGCGCGCCGACCGCGGCAGCAATTGGAGGGTGAACCAACGGCAAAGGAAGACCTTTCTTTGTCTCTCTCTCTCACTGTCCACTCTGCCTGTCAAAAAAAAAAAAAAGACTGCAAAAACAGACCATATCAACCCCCAAATCTCCACCCAGTGCAGACCCCAGAGGAAACACTCTCGGAAAGTCAGTCTGACTTAGAGAAGTTCTTGCAGGTACGATTCGAGGCCAAGAGGCTTCTGGTTAGCTCGAGGCGCCTGGCAGTATAGACACACTGAGGCACTCAGACACCAGCTCTCGGCGCGTATCCTGCCTTAACCGCTCCGTGACACGGCGGGGGTCTGGACCCGCTCCACCCACGCCGGGCTGTCCCGCGGCAGCTCTTCCTCCAGAGCTGAATGTTGGAGACAGCTGACGGGTGCTGTGCTGAACGATGGACGCATCGACTGTGAGGGTTGCACTAGCTGGTGACGGGCGTGGCCCGGAGCCGTCCCGTCGCCTCTGCCAGGACAGGCGCACGCGGGGCGCCAGCGCCGCTGGCTCAGTAACGGCTTCTGCCCCCTGCAGGTCCCGGGACGACAAACACCTGCTGCTCTACTGGACCAACCTCTGCTCTGTGCTGGACTCCAGCTCCAAGCTCACCTTCCTGGACATCAGCCAGAGCGTGCTGAGCGCCCCGGCCGTGCAGGCGCTGTGCGACCACCTCGCGGCTTCCTCCTGTTGCCTCCAGAAAGTGGCGTAAGTGGCGCTGGCCTCGGGCTGAGATCCCCGGGGCAGGACCCAGGTTCTTGAGTCGCTGGTGCTGGAACGACTAGTCGCATCCCTGACCCAGGCTCCAGCCAGGTGCCCAAGACGCGAGGAGCCGAGCTGGCCCTGAGCCGCCTTTGGGTAGTGGGAGAACCACACCGGGTCATGTTAACACGACGTGACACGCGGTCTAGACGTGCACACTGCTGGCATCTGGGTCCTGGGGGCCATTTGCATCCTCCTGTGATGACAGGGCTCCACGTGGGAGGCTTTGTGACCTGATGGCGGGGGCGGGGGGAGCGGGGCTGGTTAGGCAAACTGCAGCACTGCCCCCCCCTGACTTGGGATACCCCAAAAGTGTCCCAGACATGGCCAGATGTCCCCCAGAGGGTGCAAAGTCTTCCCTGGCCAGGGGCCCCCAATGAGCAGAGGTAGACATTGCTGGGCCGAGATGCGTCTGAGACGTTGGTGTTCAGTCGCTCGGGGGCTGCAGAATGCACCTTATAAAAACCTGCACGTGAACTTCCAATCTCACTGCCGCCAGTGAGGTCATCTCTTAATGCCATTTTCTCTGCAAACTTCTGTAAGTTTTATTTTGGAAGGTAGAATTAGAGGGAGAGACAGAGAGAAAGGGTCTTCCATCTGCTGGTTCACTCCCCAAACGGCCCCAGTGGTCGGAGCTGAACCAATCTGGAACCAGGAGCTTCTTCCAGGGTCTCCCACGCGGGTGCAGGGGCCCAAGTACTCAGGCCATCCTCGACTGCTTTCCCAGGCCACAGCAGAGAGCTGGATTGGAAGTGGGGCAGCCGGGGCTCCAACTGGAGCCCACATGGGATGCTGTTGGCTCAGACAGAGGCTTAGCCCATTACGCCACAGCGCCCGCCCCTCTGAACTTTTCGAATGCCCAGTGTGCCCGTCTGACCCACGAATACATAGCCAAGTTGACTGCAAGGAAAGGCCAGAGTTAGAGGTTTGGGGGAGAGGCAGTCACCCCACTCACTCGGGTTCCGAGCACATGGTGCTCTTCTCCATGGGAGACAGCATTTCAGAGTCTGCCTGGGCCAGAGGACTCCTCTGTGGTAACGCACCAGCCACGTCCCGCAGGCGTAAGTCAGCAGGTGTACGGATGGGGGGCAGAGACCAAACAGCTCACCCCCTAGGCTGACTGGCGTCTGCAGTTGTCAGTGTGGCTGAGACCCTCGCAAGCCACAAGTAGGCACTGCCTTAGGTTGCCCTCGACGCAGGGCTCACAGGGCTCTTGCTCGCCTGAGAACTGCGTTGGCCGTGCAATCCGGGTACTGAAGGTTGGAACTCGGTATTGCACGGGACATGGGATTCACCACAGGTGCCCCCCGGGAGCGCGCCCGGGAACAGGTGCAGAGCTGTAAGTTGTCTGAAGTGACTGTCCCAGCTCCCTAAGGGGAGGGGCTGGGGAAGGCACACGGCGCTCGTGGACACCCGGGGCACTGCTGCTCGGCCACAGCGACCAGACTGGGATCCTGTGTGCCTGAGGCTCGCTACAGGTGCTGCCGGAGCGTCCTTGCCACGCACGAGAAGAGGGGGTAACAGAAGTCGGCCGTGACGGGGCCTGTCGGGTGGCAGCCCTCTGGCAGAGCGCACAAGCATCCGAGCGTGTCGCTGGTATCTGGACACCTCAGAACCTACCCTGTAGGAAGCAGTCCCCAGAGCTTAAACGGCGCGGCGGCCCCCCGCCCTGTGGGTGCCGTCTGGGGACAGACACTCGGGCCCTTCTCCCCTAGCCTCAGAAACACTCAGCCGGCGGACGCCTACCGGGACCTCTGCCTCTCCGTGCACGGCCACAGGACCGTCACGCACCTCACCCTGCAAGGCTGTGACCAGGTGGACGTGCTCCCCGCGCTGTGCGAGGTCCTGAGACACCCGTATTGTCGGCTGCAGTATCTGCAGTAAGTCTGCCTCGCTGATAAACCCTCCTCGTGCAGGCGGAGCTGCCGCGAGCCCAGACGGCAAGCTGCAAATCCACGGCAGGGGTGGGGGGAGGAGAGGGTGTCCCCGCTGTCCCCGAGGTCCCCAAGACACACCCAGGGCGGGAGATGGGACCTGTGCGGAACACTGAGCCCCTGACACCCGGAACCTGGGCGCCCCCTGGTGGCTCAGGGCCGGCTCGCCCCTCCCTGGGGTGGGCGTCTGGCATGTGCTGCGCCCGGGGGGCTGTCCCCACGGCTGCCCTGACGTGACCCTGGCACGTCACACGGCTCCCTGAGCCTTGCCAACCCTGTCTGGGTCAGAGCAGGGACCTGGTTGACAGTGGCCGTCGGCACTGAGTGGCGGCTTTGCCTCAGTAGATGTGAGGTTAGCCGAGAGCCCAGGTCTTCAGCAGCAAAACGGATCGCGTCTGTCTCACGGGGACCAGGGCGGGACGAGACCAAGCCCAGGCACCGATGCCTTGGGCGGTCACTGCCGTCATCGGCAACCCTTTTTCCCTTCCGGTGAGGGTCAACCAGGGAGAAGCTCCTAGTGGAAGCTCCAGGCCCCTGACCTGTGGCTCAGTGCATAAACCGATAGCGGAACAGGAACAGGCCCCGCGAGGTGGTTGGTTTATCGGAAGCTCGTGCCCAGCCTCGTGAGCCATCTCGCAGGTCGTGTGCGGCTGCTCCGCTCGGCTTGGCCAGAGGGGAAGTGACAGCAGGTAGATCTGTGCAGCTTTGAGCTTCCAGGCCGGCATTCCCCCCGGTGAACCATGGGGGTGTGGGCGTGGCTTTTGCTCCCGACTTGGAGATGAGATTGCTGGCACTCGGTGTGAGAGAGGGCTTCTTAGAAACCAGACTGGGGCCGCGGGGACACGTGACGTCCCGTGCCGGGGGTCTGCGGGCCCGGGGCGTGGGTGCCGCGTCGTGCAGTGGGCAGCCTGGCCGATTCTGCACCTGGAGTCCCCAGGCCAGCGGCAGCAGCTGGGGACTCGCCCGCTGCAAACCCAAGTCCCCGCCTCACTCTGGGGCCGTGGCCCGGGGGTGTTCCTAGCACATCTCCCAGGTGAGCACAGAGTACCAGGAGACAACCTGGGGGGACCCCACGCCCACAGCCCCCTGCTCGGGTAGCCCCGCGGCGTGCGGGTCCTCCCCGCTGACGTGTGCCCGTCCCCGTCGCAGGCTGGCGTCCTGCTCCGCCACCACTCAGCAGTGGGCCGCCCTGGCCCTGGCCCTGGCCGAGAACCAGTCCCTCATGTTCCTGAACCTCACTGCCGTCGAGCTCCTGGACACCGGCGCCAAGCTGCTGTGTGTGGCCCTGAGACACCCGCGGTGCCTGCTGCAGCGGCTGTCGTGAGTCTCCCTCGCTCTCTCCTTCTTGTGGAGAAAACCTCAGGTCCCGTCTGGGCCGTCGAGGGGAGAGACGGCCACAGGGGACCTCCCGCCCAAGCCGGCGCTGGCTCCCACTGTGACAGCTGGGAGGGGCAGAGGGAGGCGGTTTGGGCACCGCGAAGGCGGGGCGCTGGGTTCCCCCGTCTGACTGGGCGCGTGGTTCCTGCGCAGGCTGGAGAGCTGCCACCTCACCGAGGCTTCCTGCAAGGAGCTCAGCTCGGCTCTGATCGTCAACCAGCGGCTGACGCACCTGAGCCTGGCCGAGAACGACCTTGGGGACGGCGGGGTGAAGGTGCTGTGCGAGGGCTTGAGCTACCCCGAGTGCTGCCTGCAGACGCTGGTGTAGGTCCCACGCTCTGCGTGTGCCTGTGTCCGTGTGTGCCTGCCTGTGTGTCTGTATGTCTGTGTGCCTGTGTATGTCTGTGCATGTCTGTATGCATGCCTGTGTCTGTGCGTGTCTACATGCATGCGTCGTGTGCCTGTTTACATTCCTGTGTCTGTTTATGCCTGTATTCATGCCTGTGTCCATGTGTGCCTGTGTGCATGTCTGTATGCCTGTGTGTCCGTGTGTGCCTGCCTGTGTCTGTGCGTGTCTGTATGCATGCATGCGTCGTGTGTGCCTCTGTCCGTGTGTCCATGCCTGTGTGTCCGTGTGTGCCTGTGTGCGCACCCAGCCCTCCGCGCTTCAGGTAGCACAGTTAGAACGCTCGGCTGTTCCTCTGAATGGCTTGGGTTTGCAGCCAGGGGCCGCCGCTGCGGAGTCCCGGGGAGAGGTGGCCGTGGGACGAGCTAGGAGGAGAGGGGGCTCGGCAGGGAGTCGGATGTAGCTGGTCTCCAGGTCTTGTTTGCTTTCCTCACTTGCATTCTAAGAGCTGTCTTGTGTGACTGTAGAAGCAGGTTTTGGACAAAGTCCGTGCGACCCTGCGTCGGCACGTAAATCGCAGGACGAGCTCCGGAGAGGGACAGGGCTGCAGTGGCGTGACCCCCTGAGGTCGCCTCGGAGCCGGACAGGGTCAGCTTTCCCAGTGAACTCGCTTTAGGCTGTGCCTGAAGGCGGCGGGGGTGTGAAACTGCCCACCCCCACCCCCCACCCCCCGCGCAGAGTAAAGCCCGGAGCTCACGGCTGGAGCGAGGTGGAAGGGAAGGGCCCCTCCCCCACTGAACTCCCAGAACTAAGGTAACAAAGTCCAGAGGCACTCGGACGCCTCCGCCTGCCAGCCGTGGCTGGTGGCTCGGCTCCCCGCCAGCGTCGAGAGCAGCAGCGGCGGCCCCGGGGCCCTCCGGCTCCTCGTGCACAACTCTGGTTGCGGTTCTCCGCTCCCTCTTCCCCGAACCCTCGTGACTGCATGGGGCCCACCCAGGGTGCCCCCACCTCCTTATCCCCGAGCCCCTCCGTCAGGTCCAGGGGTCACGTCCTGCAGGTACCTGGGTGCTCCGGGACCACTGTTCACCTGCCGCCCGGCCCCGTGACGTCACTTCTACGTCCGCATAGCCCCTGAGCTCGTGAGCCCGCGGCGGGAGGCTGCAGGGCTCACGGGTGCTCCCGCCCTCCGGGGGGGGTGACTTCCAGGCTCTGGTGCTGCAACGTCACCAGCGAGGGCTGCGCCGCGCTCTCCCGGCTCCTGCAGCAGACGTCGAGCCTGACGCACCTGGACCTCGGGCTGAACCACATCGGGCTGGCGGGGCTGCGCTTCCTGTGCGAGGCCCTGAAGGACCCCTGCTGTAACCTGCAGTGCCTGTGGTGAGTCCCCGCTCGGCGCGCTCGGCCGTGTCGGGGTCGCGAGCACACGGCTCCGCGGACGACCCGGGGGCTCCGACAGGCAGCTGAAGGGCTGGGGCCTGGCTTTAGCGCCCCACGGGGCACCCGCAAACGGTGTTAAGGATGTGTTGGCTCAGGTAGGCGCCGCGGCTCACTAGGCTAATCCTCCGGCTGCAGCGCCAGCACACCGGGTTCTAGTCCCGGTCGGGGCACCGGATTCTGTCCCGGTTGCTCCTCTTCCAGGCCAGCTCTCTGCTGTGGCCAGGGAGTGCAGTGGAGGATGGCCCAAGTGCTTGGGCCCTGCACCCACATGGGAGACCAGGAGAAGTACCTGGCTCCTGGTTTCAGATCAGCACAGTGCGCCAGCCATAGCGGCCACTTGGGGGGGTGAACCAATGGAAGGAAGACCTCTCTCTAAACCACAAAGCAGCCACTCCTGTCCAGCTCCCAACCATCAGGGGTGGCTTGGCTGTGGCACCCTGAAACGCTGGCTCTGGGAACACGCGCAGGACGTGTCCCAGCTCCTATGTGGACCAGACGCACGGACACAGGGACCTCGCCCGTGAGGGACCGGCTCACTAGACGGCATTAAAGTGAGGTCACAGTCTTCCTGGGTCTTGTCACACGGATGGCCACCAAGTCCACGCATGTTACGCGTGGCAGGGCTGTGTGTCTGGGTCGTAGCCCGTTCTGTGTGGACACGTGCACCACCTTGGTAAACATGAATGAGGCTGCAGTCGGCCGTGAGCATTCTAGAAGCCCCAGCCTCGCTGCAGTTCACCTGGGCGGGGGCGGGGGGGGGGGGGGGCAGCCTTAGCTCGGCAACAGGGAGCCACCAGTCGGCACCGCTCATGGTCTGCAGGTGCCGGCAGGAGAGCGGTGGGGGGAAGGGCTGTGGCCCAGCACCAGGAAGGGGGGCTGCCCTGCACGTGGTGGGCTCCAGCTTCCGGCCTCCCAGGTAGCTCAGGAAGTGCGGTCAGTTAACAGTGGGTTTGCAGAGTGCTCTCAGACCTGCGCCTACTCCCTTGTCTCACACGTGCACACACCTCGGACATCTGTGCGTTCTTCACTTTTTAAAGATCTTGTTCAAGAGGTAGAAGGCCAGAGAGGTCATCCATCTGCTGGTGCACTCCCCAAATGGCCACAATGGCTGGAGCTGGGCCACTCCGAAGCCAGGAGCTTCTTCCAGGTCTCCCATGCGGGTGCAGGGGCCCAAGCACTTGGGCCATCTTCCACTGCTCTCCCAGGCCACAGCAGAGAGCTGGCCTGGAAGAGCAGCAGCCAGGACTTGGCGCCTATGCGGGAAGCCGGCGTTGCAGGGGGAGGCTTAACCCCCTGTGCCACAGTGCCGGCCCCATCCTTAACTTTCCCGCCCACCTGACAACTCCGGGTGGAAGAGAGCTCTCTCCCCTCCCCCGGGTTGACTGACAGGTGAGGCGCTTGTGCGGAGGGGGATGGATCATTTCCCAGCTTCGGAACGAGAAATCTCAAATGGTCTTACTGAGTAGGAACAAGATCGTGTGTGCGCCATCTCCCTTCTGAAACCTGCGGTCTGGGTCCACGCTGGCTAGGGTCGTCGGCCCCGTGCCGATCCCTGGGCCCCATTCCCACCTCCTCCGAGCTCGGGGTACGCGGGCAGCAGTGCTCTGGCCGCCTCACTCCCCCACAGGTTTCCAGCCAAGCAGTGAGGGTGGCTTTTTTTTTTTTTTTTTTTTTTTTTTTTTTTTTGGACAGAGTGGACAGTGACAGAGAAAGGTCTTCCTTTGTCGTTGGTTCACCCTCCAATGATCCAAAGGCAGGAGCCAGGTGCTTATCCTGGTCTCCCATGGGGTGCAGGGCCCAAGCACTTGGGCCATCCTCCACTGCACTCCCAGGCCACAGAGAGCTGGCCTTGGAAGAGGGGCACCGGGACAGA